TTTTGGTTTGCAAAGTAGATGCAGACATACTTCAAATCTTTTTTAAGGCTCTGCTTCCTTAAAGACTAGAAACTGCAATGGTAAAAACTGAATATAACAAACATCCCACAGTCTGATAATGTTTTTGTGAGAAGGTGTTTCTAACCCCCTGCCTCATTAGGATGGTCTTAATTTTAAAATAGAAGATCATCCTGCATTGATTAACAAAGTTTTTGACATGTTGGGATACAACATCATGAACTAGTCAGTAACTCAGACATTTTACTGACAGTAAAACCAATCCTCTGTTCAAGAAGCAAGCACAAGTTTTCGGTATATTGCTAGACATAGTGTAACATTAAGTTGGCTTCCTCCTTCCCCCCACGTCCTTTTCACTGTGTCAAACCACCAGGAAAAGGAAAAGAAACCCAGCCTTCATTTAGCACACAACCAGAAGTAATCTCTCTTTTGGGTATCAACTGTTATTTCATACAGGAATTGAGAGTATTATGTATCATGTAGCAAAACACCAAAACACACACTATACCTTGACTATTTCTGAAGTCAGGGAAAATATTTCTGGCACATGAGACTAAAATAATAGTTCGGTACAATTCATTGGCGCAACTATTAACACTTAATCTTACTAAATCAAAACCCAAACTTAAAGTAACATTACCAATAATGAATAAAAAAAAAAAAAAATCAAATGTTGTTTATGGAAGCGCAAAGCCGAACTCAACTTTATCTACCCTCCTCTTATCACCTTTTCACTCATATCTCAATAAACTTTACTCTTAATTAAACTTACGATGTCTGTTACTCTTTCTCTCATTCCAAACTGCCATTGCTAATGAAACTTCACAGGTTTTACATCTCTGTGCAAAGTTTTTACCAGTTATACGGCACAGGCTTACTCACTGCCCTGTCGGGACAGCCAGGAATTCAAACTGCAAAAGCTGCAGTAACAACATTTCTGCATACCAGAATGTCCAATACTCCCTACCCTTCCCCCGAAATATTCTTAACTATCAAGTTTTATAAAAAAAGACCACTAAAAACAGACTCTAAAACCACGCAGCCTCGCTGTAAGTGAATGTCTAATCCATCCCTGCAGCCTTAGGCTCTGTGCGGGCCCGCACCGGGCAAGCCCCCACCCTCGCCCGCCGCGCACCCCGCTACCGCTCACCCCAAACCCGGGGGCAGGGTCGTCCTCCCGCCCCTCCCCGTGACATCCGAGCGGCGTGGCGTGGCGACACTCGGACAGCACCACGCGTGTGGCCGGCTGGCCTCGCCGTCACGACGAGGAGAACTTTCTCCGCTCCCCTCAGGGGGGTGAGACGGGACGGGACGGGACGGGACGGGCTGAGGGAGCCCGGGAGCCTCCCGGCCGGCGGCTTTAGAGCCGGCTCGGCTGCCGCCCCCACCCACCCGGGCGGCTCCGAGGGTGACCGAGCACTTTTCAGGCGCAGGCCTCGGGCAGCCCCAGCCCCTCAGCGAGCTCCCCGGCTCCCCCCGGCCCTTCTTACCCGCCTTCCCCGCCCCGAGCCCGGGCATCCTCTCCCGCCCGGTGGCGGCGGTGTGTGTGTGTGTGTGTGTGTGTGTGTCTGTGTGTGTGTTAACACTAACGCCCCGCCGGGGCCAACCCCGCCCTGCCCCCTCGGGCAGCTCCGTATCCCGCTCCGGGCCTCGCCCGCGGCGGCCGCCGGGGCTTCCCGCGCCGCTTTCCTCACCCCGCCGAACGCCCGCTCCCCGCCAGCCCCGGCGGCTGCGGGGGCAGGACCGGCGCCCTCCGCCCCTCCCCGCCTGCCCGCCCGCGGTACCTGGCCGGCGCGGCACAGCGCGGCGCGGTTCGGCCCGCCGCAAGGCTCCCGCTCCGCTCCGCGGCTCGGCCGGCCCGCCCGCCCTCCTCCGGCGCGGGGGGGCGGCGGGGGCCTGTGTCGGGGCCGCCGCCGCTGCCGCCCGCCAGCGCGGGGAGGGGAGCGGGGAGCGGGGCGGGCGCCGCCGCCGTCGCTCAGGGCTGTGCAATCGGGCCCGGAGCCATCGAGCGCAGCGGAGGGCGGGAGCGGCCCGGGGCAGCGCGGAGCCCCGGGGCGGCGGCGGGCGGCGGCCGCAGCGCCGCGACAAGGTGCCGGGGTGCCGGGGGGGGGACGCAGTCACCGCCCCGGGGGTGGTGCCGTGGCGGGGAACGAGCTGCCCGGTGATGCCGCAGCCTGAGGGGGACACAGCCGGGAGCGAGCGCTCTCCCACCGAAAACAACCACAAAAAAAAAACCCAAAACCCTTGGTGATTTTTTTTTTTCCCCCTCAAGATAGCTATTTTTAAAGGTAGCTCAGTGGGCACTGTGGAGATTTGTACCTGGCTGATCAGAGTCTGTCATGACTTTAGATTTTCACGCCACCCCACAGGCGGGTATACCGAAGGGCCCCTGGCACTACACCAGTACGGTCACAGAAACTTCCCGTTCCTATTCTTAACCGTTCGTCAAACTCAACCTTTGCAAAAGCTGTTACGCTCGGGTTTCACCAGTGTGAGCTTTGAACCCAAATCGAGTCAGGATCCCAAGTCACCGACCCATTCTGTGTCTCACTGACAAGGTCAGACCTGGGCTCCTCTGGGAATTTCCCCTGTTTTTTGCCTACTGCATGGGTGCTCCAACGGAGAGGGGCTGCTGTGTCATCAGGAACGGCATCCGCCCGTGGAAATTTTCATAAGCTAATTCAATGGTCATGAGAAATTTTCTATTGAGGGGATTTTTTTCTGAATCCTGTCATCAGAGTTTAATTTCTGCCTTAATAAGGGGAAAATATATGTTTCTCAACCATTTTTTAGTTTAAAAATAAACAAACGATGATCTTATTGTAGTATTGTAGCTGATGCCCAGTCACTTCTGGATTGGTTTCGCATCCTGGCAGAGCACACTGGAAGGCAGACATCAGGTTTGGTTTCTGCTGGCAACCAGTCAGTTTGGTGGGACTGAGACACTCCATTTAAATTCTGCTACCTTAGCTGCTGCTACAAAGTTGATGAAGAAATGCCTTCTGAAATTAAAGACTGGTTTTGACTAGACAACAAATCTTCAAGATGATCTTTTGTCTTGTTAATCCCACAGGGTGACACTGGTTAAACCTCTGAGTGGAAAACTTAGGTTCCTCTCCACAAACTGGGTTCTCAGGGGCTGTCGTCTTTGAAGTGGTGCAAACCATCGTGGAGAGGGAATAATGCCTGGGCTGCATAAGCTTAGGAGCCAAAATAATGTCCAGACCTTACATAGGCTTGTAAATTCATCTTCAAATAGGTTCAATACGTAAAGTTTACATACAGTGTGATCCTCTGTGAATGTCTGTATTCAGTCATGTAGATTGTGGCACTGAGGAATATTTCTAAAAGTTCAACACAGAACTGCTTGAATATTTTGCTATAGATGCCAAAAGCACCAGGCTGCATTACTGTACATAGACACTGGTTTCATTTTTACTAAATTGCCTGTGATAAACATGAGTATTGATGTAATGACCTTTTATCAAAAAAAAATCTGCCAATGGATGTGGTAATGAAGAATACATAAATACCTCATACCCAAAGCAGGAAACTCCTTCTGTAGTATCTTTTACAGAAATCAACTCTACAAACTCCTACTGGTATAAAGGTGTTAGCCCTCAGTATTGAAAATAACATACACCCCCAGGAATGAGTTATTTGCTCAGTTAACCTCATTTTGATCAGAAGATGAGTTGCGGCAGCTCAGCATAAAGCCATCTGCCATTCAACTTGTGAGAAAGGTCAAATGAACAATTTAGATTCGAAGACTCTTGGTTCTATGACGTTTTCCATAATGAAGTCCAGAAAAACAAAGGCTGCTCTGTCTGACAGTCTTGAGGTAACAGAAAGGCTTGGTAATATTTCTGAGAGATTGATCATATTTAGCTCAGAAACAAAACAAACAAAACCAAATTCTAGAACAATCTTTATAATTTTATTGCTGTTATTATCATTATTATGCCTATTATTCACTCTGTTGTGGTAACAGGCAGAGACCCACTCAAGATTAGTTGAACCGTAATGCTGAATGTTACATGAGCACAGGGCAAGACAAAACATCATCAGTAAGAAACACAATCTTGCTCAGTTCTTCCCAAGAATGATCTTGCCCAGCCCCCAGTATACATGATATTGGCTCTAAGTAGTGATGTGTTAATGCTCAGCTCATACCAATCAGTTTGAATAATGACAGATACTGATGCAGGATGCTCCTCCCATCTCTGGGCACATCGGCTTTAGGGTTGCTCTGTGTCAGCAGTGCTTACATGAGGGTAAAAATCTGGATTTGTTGGATTTATAGCTAACCTTGATTCTTTAATATGATTTTTTTCCCCCTAAATTGGTCAACAGAGTGTTAACCATGCCCTGATCCAAATTAGCATCTGCTTCAGCAGTAATGTGTGCCATTTTTATAGTACCCTTTTCAATCTGAAATAAAAAAATACTGTAATGCAAGTTTATAGTATTCTGTTCTAAAACATACAAAAATAGGACAATTAAATGTATTCACCATGTATTAATTCAATTCCCCCTTTCCCCATTAGTCCTGACTGAGCTTCAATAGCAAATTACTTAATAAAATAAGCAACTAGTGAATAATTGCAATGCACAAACCTACTGATTAGTCTTCTCATTAGTTAGTCTATTTTGGTAAAGTGGGTTGACTGATTTAGAGCATGGATCAGTTCTGCCATACAAATTCCAGTATAGTGGAATATACAGTCACATATGCCTCTGAGCTAACCATTTCCTTTCTTACAGCTTTATAATCCTCCGTGATTCTAGAGGAAGATAAAATAATGTATTCCTTTGAATTCAGTAGGACTGTCTACTCATGAGTAAGAACTGCAGGACTGATTCAAAGCAGATGAAACATCACTGAATAATTACATAGCAAAGAAAACCAAATTCCATTACATTTTAAAATCTGTAAGAAGGGGTGTCTTTAATTGTAAGATTAAACATTTATTTTTACTTTATTTTTGCAAATATATTATACAGTCAATGCACCCATTTAAGTACATAGTCAGACCATTAAGGTCTGAATCTGTGAACAGTTACACCAACAGCAACAGGCAATTTACACTTGGCTTTAATCTGAGTGAGATTATTAATCTGCCTGTAAACATTATAACATGGTCATTTCTAGGACTGCTACAGCCCTTGGCATCCATGGCTATCCATCAAGGCTCCCTCAGTTGTGACAGTAACTGTGTAAAATGCTTCTAACCCTGAAAGTGACACATTCAGGTCCCTGGAGTAGATGCCTTCTGGAGATATGTAGAATCCAGCGCAGTTTGGTCTGTCCTAGCTTTTGCAAAGCCTTAGTTATAAATCTTTCTTTTTTACACATTGACTATTGAAAATAATAGATGGTTTTATTTCATGCTTAAATACAGCTTGACTTGGTTTATTTCCAGTAGAGTTGCTTTTTGTACTGTCCCAAAATACAAGGCCTGAATTCCTGCCAAACAAATTACACAGTTCTGCTGTTATTTTCAGTCATAAAATGTAAATAAAAGTATTATGCAGGCCTAGATAATGTTAGATACACCTACCAAAATGGGAGTGGGAAATAAGGAAACAAGTCCTGTTGAAAACACAACACATCTCAAACAGTTCAATGGGTGAATAAATGATCAATCTTCAGTGGTAAAAATTAATAATATATGTTTTAAATTGTAAAATTAAATACTTGAAGAATCCTGGATAAAGTATGCTGACAAGAATTAGCAGCACATTAATGAGATCTTAAATTCAGATATATGAGCTAGAACAGTGTGAAAGGAATACCATTTATTTGCTTTTCCGTGATGTCTGGGTCATTCCTACTTTAGAAACAGTACGGGGTGTTATTTGTAGTGACACCACACTATTCACTGAGGTACTCAAAGTGCTCTGTGGCCATTGGCTCAAGTCACATTTGTGAGGCAGAGGCTAAAGCAGGAGGTAGTGAAAGGCAAACTTCTGTAGCTCCAACAAAGGTAAAAAGAGGTGAGAGTGTACTACCTCCCGATGTGAAAAGAGGAACAGAGGTGATTTTTTGCCTTTAATAAAGGAGGAAAAAAACAATGGTTTTAAACCTCTTTTTCCTTTGTTTTCTCTCTTTGTCTCACAGATGGAAAAAGTGGAGCAGAAAATTGCTTTGCCCAAAGCCACACACTGGCAGTAACTGAACTAGAGGACAGCATTGGTTTAAATAGAAAATGTGCAATACATTCGTACTATTCAGGCTATTCTAACTGCTGTTTTTTTTCTCTTGCCCATATATATCATTTACTTTTCCACTGTATTTGCCCAGCACTTCTGGTAGCAGAATCTTGTAGGTATTCCCAAATTTTGAGTTGCTTTCAAGGAACTACAAGAAAATAAGGAGGAATATGAGATACTAAATTCACTAAAGTCTTAAGAGAGATACTCAAATTTTGGCTACTGTTTTCCCAAAAAAGTGATTAAGCAGGCAACTCTGATTTCTGTTCTTGTCCAGAAATTGTGACCCTGATTTCTAGTATAAAGCATCTGGTGGATCTCACAGAGGGTTCTGCCTCACTGTGCTGTGCAATATGTTAAACACAGTGATAGTCATTGCTTTGCTCAATGTACAGTCTTAAGTAGCGCCACACTGAAAAAAACTAAATACCCATTTATTAGATGAGAACTGAGATGCAAAGAAATTAAGAAATCAAACCAGTCATGTAGAAGGTTGGTGGCAGACCTCAGGTAACTGAGCTGTGGATGTCTGGAGGCCACTGAAGCCCTCTGGCATACTGCCACTCCAGCTGCAGGGAGGTGTAATGTTTTTGAAAGAAACCATATAGCAAATTAGAAACTATTAGAGACTAAAAGCAGAAAACAATGGAAGCTTAAAAGATTCATACCTTCTTCTTCAAAGAAGTTGGGTTTATACCAGAGGTGAGATTGAAGTTCACCGGGTCATACTTTTAAATCCAAGTAGATGCCTCAGAGTGATGGAACTGAGTGTCCTCAAGCAGGGGCTAAAGAGCAGTGGTTGCACTGAGTCACAGTGAAGAAACAAACTTTCATGCAGCTTTTGTGGTAAATGAGATTGGACATCACAGCTGCATTAAAGGACCCAGTGAAAAACACCACAAAGGCTAGCTAATATCCAGCAGCCCATCAGGTGGGTGCCATTTCAGCATGGGGAAGCAATGGTCCGCAGGAGCTATCATGTGCAAAATCTTGTTATGGGCAAAAACCCCATCCTATGTGCAAAGTCACACAAAATTTGTTAGTAGTATAATTGCAAGCTTAGCAGTCTAATCAAAGAATTATTAGTCCACATCTAGTTATTGCAGAAAAATAAATAAATAAATTGTACAGAAAGTCTCAATAATAATACTACAGTTAAAATTGCTATGCATGCATTACCTAGTACCTACACATTCTCCTGGTGTCACGCTTACCCTTTCACCTCCCCGTGGCTTGCATCTGGTGGAGGGGGCACAGTGGTTCGTTAGCATACAGAATCATGTGCCAGTAAAGAGTACAATGTTGGTGTTTAAAATTTCTTCTTCTTTCTCTTCTTTTTTCTCTTTTGGAAATTGTTCTCACCTGTCGCTATTTTTGTTTCCTAATAAAGTTTAACACCCTTCTTTTTCTTCACTGGTCTGCAACTATATATTTTGTATTTTACTTATCTTAGGTACTTGTTCTTTCTTCTATTTTTTTACCCCTAAAACTAGTTTTGTTCAGCTCCAGGTCTGCATGTCTTTAAGTGACCACTGGCAAGTTTTTTACAGCCTTGGGGTCTCCAGTGCCAGCCTGTGCCCCAGCTCTTACCACCCTGTGCCTTGACTCTACACTGCAGCTGGTGTCTTCACTTCCCACAGTTGCTGCTGTTCTAACTGGCCTTTATTTCTGTACACTGTAACATTATGTTAGAGTCATAAATATATCATTCTACACAGAATAACTACTTATTATTAGTATCACTATAAAACTGTGGTTACACTGTACAAAGCAAAAGTAAGACAAATTAATCATGGTCTCCTGCCATTAGAAAAAATTGGTGTTACAGCTAAATCAAGTAAAACCTAAGCTCCAGGAAGATCAGAGAAAGTTCAGACAAAGCACACGTGGTAAGCCTCTGTCCCGAGGTCTGCTAAACTCAGGACAAAGTCTGTGGACTCTTACTAGCAATAGTAATACAGCTGCAGCATTATTACCAGTACTACTGCGTTACATGCTGTTTATTACCTTCCAATTCTGGAATAATATTTGTATGTTGCATACTGTATCTACCAATTTTATGTTGCTACTGCACCTAGCAGCAGAGGTGAATATTTCCACAAAGGGCAATGGAAGGCAGCAGGAATACTGCTGACTAGAAAACAAGCTATTGCACCTGAACTCATTAGTTTTATGGGCACAGTTCGTAGTCCACGCACGCTCGGCTTAGACACACTGGGTGTGTAGGCTGCCAACAAGGTCGCAAAAGCCCAATGTAACGATTACTGTGTGTCACTTGAATTGGAGGCCACACTAGAATAGCATAATGATGACTCCTGATGTTACAGTTTATTTCAAGGAAGTGGGGAATATTAAGCATCTTCCAATAGATATTCTCTAAGTATAGAACAGGATAATTATCTGAGCTTTTGTCTCGTCATAAAATAGAAACTATTTAAAGCAGTGTCAGGTCATCTGTTAAAAGCATATTTTCGTAGCAGAAAGGAATCAGCATTTGGCTTCGAAAAAATAATTTTAATCAATTTTTTCATCAGTATGGTCCATCATGTTATTCAGAAATGGCTTCTGTCAGTAAATGGACTGTGAATCAATAGTAGATATAAATAAAGCAGTACAAAGGGCACAGCATTCAACAAGCTGCCAATCGCTGGAGCAGAAGATGGCGGAAATCAGTATGCCAAGACGGATACACAGATAAATCAGAAACAGACAGATAATACACAAAGATGTCACCTTTCTACAGAAACTCCAGAGTTCTGCTTTGTCCCAAGAACCACTGAAATACACATAACTTTGTATGTATTTTATATGAGAAATCAGTACAAGATGGAGTTTGGTCTCAAGTCTGTTTTTCACTAAGTATTTTCAAGTTCATCCCTCTTAGAACTTGTAGAGTTCTTGAAATATAGAGAATGAATTGCTAGGCTGCCAAAGATCTTTCTAGAGCCAGGAAAAAAATAAAAATAAAAACTGCAGACTTTGTATTATACCTCAAAGGATCAATTTCAGATAGACTGAATACCTGCAATTCATGTAAGGTCAGTGAAACGTGGCATTATTCAACTCTTTTTAGGATTTGGCCTCCAACAGAAAGAGGAATAAAAAGTTTTTTTAAGCAGACGGATCATACTGAATTTGTATTAGTTATGCACATCAGGAGAATCTTATTTAAATGTCACTAGTCAGAACTTAGAAGAAGACTCATATTGTGTCTATCATAACTGTTAATTATTAATGAATAAATATGCCATTTGGGACCTAGCTAGTATTTCCAGGCCATTTGTGTGAAAAGTTGCTTTCAGCTGTGAGAGTGCCAGTTGCCAGGAATTCAACATCCTTAGGTATTTCATAATTATTAACCATACATTATGTTAATCTGAAAAATCTAATTACTCTGTTATCAAAACGATGAGCTTTGTATCTGCTAAAAAAATGTGATTCTCATGGCATTGTTTGAGCCTGCAGATCACACATTCAGTTATGGTTTTTAAAAACTAAAGATAAGGAGAGAATATTTGTAATTACTGACCTACAATTTAAGATTGCACAAGCTGGCATGCTCACTAACCACAAGGTTTTTCATCTTTTCCAGAAGAATTTATTACTTAAATGGGAATTCTGGATAATTACTGCAAACCATGTAATTGTCTAATTTCACTTTGAACCCTTCTAAATTACTGACTTCAAAAATCATGATGCTGCAGTAAAAGAGAAACTTGACTCACAGGATGAATGCACTTGAATCAGTTTTGAATTTGCCACATTTTAATGTAGTTATTCTGTTCTTACTGCCTTATAAGACAGAATTTCCCATTATATCATCTTAACACCATCTGTTAATGATGTTTGTGACAGTACTGCATAGGGTGTCAGCTGGGAATGGGGCCCCAAATGTGCCAAAACTGTATAAAAGAAATATAACCTAGTATCTGCCTGGTGGATTCAATAGACAGAAAGCTGGAAGGAAGCAACAGGGGCAGAGGGAACGATGAGATGGAAGCATACATCCTACCATTTTTGGTTTTGTTTTCATTTGAATATTTCAGTCCTTTTCCCGAGGCTCTGTTATGAATGAATTGAGTAGACAACAAGACCAAGGTAACAAGGACACAGACCAGGCTACAGCAAACAGCCTATCAGAACACATCAGAGGAGATTTCGGAGTGCAAACTTCAAGAATGCAATTCAGTGGTACTGCCTTGACTTCAGTTTCGAGATGTGCCTCACTTTTTCTACCCCGTATAGTCCATGTTCAGTCATAGTACTACCTGAAGTATCCTACCCCTACACACTCTGGATGAGGGGGAGGGACTTTCTTATTTAGTTTCTACTCTCTAAGAGGCCAGAAATTAAGTGAATTTGTGGTTTCAATGAATTTGTTAGCTAGAAAGCATTGTTATTTTATAGACAGAAAACAGAAAAAAATTGTCTGACTCAGGAAATCTGGGAACAAATAAGTACATCTCTAGCATTCTTTGTTTTTAATCTATAAACTTTGCTTTCTCAAGCGTACTTTACAGTAGCTAATACATGTAATACTTTTGTCATTATTTTGTAATAAGAAACATATGCATTACCCCATTTTTGTTAATAAAGCCTTCCAAATTATACATCTTAAGTGGATCAATATTATCAATTATTTTGAGCATACTTCAGATGAATATGAACATAAACCACATAGTCATTACTGCAGAGCAGTCCCAGGTAACCAGTACTGTATCCAGGTTATAATTTATTTTTTCAAAATTCAATCAGATGAGTGTAAGGTCCATTTGTATCTAGTTTTAACACCTGCCTGTTTCCATACGTGCCGTGCTTGACAAGAACACCTGCTTCCACACATTTGGCATTGGCAGCCAGTTCTTTTTCACACGCAGTCACAAACTGAGAATAAAGTTCCAGCCCTTTTTCTTTTTCAATGTTTGCATGGTACTGCATCTTTCTTCCCTTCAATTTACCACCTAGGGTAGCTTGTGGTATGATTAGCACATCACCTGGTAAATCAAGAACAGAAACGTACTCGCCGCTTTCATTTTCACTTAATTTAACATTCAGCAGCATATTGACTGCAAATAAAAATAAAATAAGAGTTAGTGTAACTAAAGTAAGTTTAACAGGACATTATAAACAAGATTCAACAAATAATGCGATGCATGACAAACTAATCAAGTAAAAGAAACTGCTTATTAAGGAAATGAAACATGGACAGTCAATAAAATCTATTAACCAACTAAGATGTCTGAGTATTGTGAAGAACATGAAGGATATTTATATTGATATGTCTAAAGAGTTATTGGAGTGGGGGGGAAGCGTTTGGCTGTCTGAAATCCTGAAGTTGATTCTACTTGGACTCCTCCAAAGGAACCCAGGATTCAATTAGTGCCCCTAACTTAATTTCCTGATCCTCAGATAGGCAACATTTGCACAACACTACACATTGAAAGAGATAACACCATCTTCAATGCACTTTGGAGAAGTTTCTGCCCTGACCATCTTTTCACTCTGGTTGCAGTAGTTTGCAGCAGGACCCAGCACTGATCTAGGCTGAAGCCACAGCTCAGCAGTTCGGGCTCGAGTGTAGTGAGTGCCCTTCAGCGCTCCACTCGGAGACGTGCAGATGCCAGCTGGCCTTTTGAGAGAGGGAATGGGCAGGAAGGTCAGAGATGCAATTTGGCCCATAAACCAGAATATATAAACTTGCAAATAAAATTGATGCATTTACTAATATCGTATTTTCCAATGTTTCTACAACAAATCAAATCATTCCCTCAAAAACTTCCTCCAACTCTGTAAAAGCTCTGAAGATACTAGTCATGCCTCCAAAACCATAACAGTTCAATGTTGTTTGAACCAAAAAGAGCTGAGTTGTGATTCAGGAACCAAAATCACTCACTTAAACAGTTTCAAAACATATTTAGGAAAAAGTATTCTGTAAGACAGACACTTAAGGAGGATGGTCATAGATGAATCTCCCAATAGGAAACAGAACTTTCTTCTTCTGGCTTGTTTCAGCTGCCACACAGCTGAAAAAGTCATTATTCTCAAGTAGCACTCATGAAACTCTCACAAGCACAAAATCAATTTTCATATCATAGCTTTAAATAGACCCAAAGATTTCAATTTAGTTTAGCATCACAGAAAGACTGTGCCCTCCAAGACCGAGAGAGAACCTCCCAGGAGCTGCTCTCAGCATTTTCAATAGCACCTGTGCTTGTGCACTGCCAAGTCTTTCTGCTGGTCCCAGCAAGTAGCCTGAAATAGATTATTGTTACATGACCTTTTATGAAACCCCTAATACCAACCAGCCACAAAAAAGAAAAGGAGCACTTTTATCTGGAACACACAGCATCATGAAATTTCCCAGGTGATCCAGTGCTACTGATGGAGGAAAGGAGGGGGAAGAAATGAAATACAAGTAAAAAAGAAAACAAAATCAAAACAAACGACCTCCAGCCAAAACAACAGTGGGTGAAGACAGACATCACTACCATTTGACCTTATCCACAGCATCTTCTCTGCTTTGATGTAAATGTTGAAGTGCATGTGGAGAAAAGAGATAGAACTGCAGACGTTGCTGTTATCACTTCTGAACCAGAAAACTGCACCTGAAATGCTAACAGTGTATATACTGTCACTGAAAAGAGATGGGAAGGACACCGATTAGTTATCCACCCAACTCCCTCTGCTGGCTATAATTTTAAATGTCCTGCACATACAGTGAGATCAGTGTTAAAATACTTCTCAAACCAAGCCATGAATTATTTGAAAACAGTTTTCTCTAAATTCAGTTCTGTCCTGGACTGAACCTGTTGCCTGACAGATGTAATGTGTCAAACAGCAGGTGCAGCGCTTTCTCCGTTTGCTAGAATGTCATTGTCATGGGAATTGATTTTCTAACACGTTGATCATGAGCAGGCAGAGTGAGAGGCATGGACAACTGTCAAAAGAAACATGACAAACCAAGCTGTTCTTTCAGCCAGGTGATTGCTTTGGAATGATGCTATATGATGGCTTTTTGATGACTTCTTGTCCAAATGGCTGCTGCCTTCTATGCCTCTACTGCTTTTTTCTTTTTCAAACAATACAAGAATTTATAAGGATTATATCATACCAATTTTTGGAACAAGATCCTCATCAGCACCTTTGAAGAAGCATATGTAGATAACAAGCCCTCTCTGGATCTATGGAAGATTACAGAAAAGTATGTCAATGTTTCTCATCGTCCATCATGCACACTTACCATTAAAACTGGTATCAAAAATTATAAAACTACACAACAGAAAAGCTTCAGATAGTAGTTTTAGTTACTTAGTATAGCTTCAGACATCAAGTTTGCATACCACACTGTGGAAGCTTTTGAAATATATACTGACTACCTGCACAATACTTCTACATACAATTAAGCCAATTTATTAGCTCCATGTGAAGCCAAATTTAGTTGGAATTTATAATGTACAGTATTAACATAGACAAGGTGACAAGACGAATTAGTGTATTTATATCCAGCATAAGAAATAATTTAAGCTTTTTTCCTATCAAACATACAGATAAAATAATTTTCAGTGTGAATTATGAGTTTATTTCCAATTATGAAACATGACAAACACCACAGGACTTGTCAGTGAACTGAATTATATTTTGATGTTAAAAGTAATCAAGTACAGAGTAATTTTGAAAAAACACAGAGTCTGTTAATTAAAGATTTAAATATGATGACCAACTTAAATATGATGACTAACAACTATGAAGCTGCTCAGAATATTATAAAGTTGTTCAAAATACTATTTGTCAGTTTGGGTGAAATACTTTTGGTGAAATGGGACCTTTCCCCTGATTTGTACAAAGTAAAGGATATGCTGCTTGTTTAGCATTCAGAAACTACTTGTAAGAACTATCTATTTGAGGGAAGAATTAGGTCTGTACTGAGAAGCAAGCACAAGGAAATTCTTGTGTAGCTTTCTACTCTCTTGGTCAGTTCACAAGGAATGCATGTGCAACAGCCTGTGATTTATTAAGACAAACCAATAGGCTCTGCAGCCAACAGCAATTATGTCTCATGCATGAGTACACTTGGATGGTTTAACCTCTTCAGGAAAAAAAAAGGAAGGCATACAATATACACAGGCATACAGTATCTAAAAAAACCCCACCCCTGCTTTGTCAGGAATAAGTATCTTTATATCTTTGTTAGAAGAAAAATAAACGTCAGCTTGTGAAATACAACCTGTGAGATGCTAACTAGATTGGGGCAGGAAGGAGTCATTAACATTGGTATTATCAATGCAAAAGGATAAGAAATGTGAATAATGTTTCTTAAAAATACCTTTTTAAAATTTTTCCTCTATTTTTAATTTCCTCTTTTCTTTAAATTATAAAGGTTTCTGGTGAAGACAATCTAGCTATACACATGAGATTTTATCCCTTTGTTATTTCAGAGATTAAACAAAATGCTTACATCAATGACTGAGGAGAGCTACGTCTTCTCAGCTGTTTTTCTAGTGAATAACTTCTAGAAAGAGAATGCTCATGTCACATGCTGAGAACTTTCAAAAGCTTTAAATGGCTCCTTTCAAAACTCATTTTGACCACTGCAGAATATTATACAGGTTCCCAAATGACTGCCATATTTCATAAACACTGTAAGAAATTTGATGGCCTGAACCTCAAATGATATTTCAAACCATCTGTTCAAACAAGGGAGAGAAATGCAGGCTGCCAAAAATTCAGATATCCTTACATGTTTAGATAAATATTCATTCCAGAAACAGACCAGCATGAGGATATTAATAGAGAGTAACAATGTACACATACCTACTAATAAAAAACGTTTGTGATAAAATAGGCCAAATGCATTTACACTGTATATATCAGATCACTGCATTAGAAATAAGTGACTTCATGATACAGCACACATCACAGAAAATCATTCTGATACTTGTGACAGTGTTTTATGCACCGTCTCACAGACAGAACTAACAATATTCTACAAGCAGCTCATTTAAAGAAGACAAAAAGGTAGATAAAGTGACACGTGCAAGTCCTAAGGCCAGACAGCTAAAGATTAAGTAAAAACATTAATTATTTTTCCAGCCTCTCTCATGATTTGATGCCTATTTTTGAATATACTTTTTATCACAAGATGAGACACATACATATTGAGGGAAATTAGAGGGACAGGAGCTTAAATGAAAAAAAAAAATAATTCAGAGACAAGTTAAAGCTGCTAGAGAGTGTTTCTATTTATATTGCATGTTTATGATCTTCTAGAACACTTTCCAACCATAGTTGAAAACTATTCAACTATTTGTAAGCTGAAAGTTACAGTTTCAGCTATGACTGAATACTGTGGTCAAACACTATTTTCAACACATGTGCAACCATGTTTCAACCTCTTGTTCTGTCTTTCTTTTTTGTTGTTCAGTTTTCTTAATTGAATAGAAGATGTAAAATTGAATGCAATTTCAAGAGCTATCCTAATAACAATGCATACCAGTCCTCTGATCCTGTATCAGTGTTTCAGGTGTCCTAAGACTTGTGCTTGTTGCCAGCATAAAAGGAACTATAAAAGTATAAAATTTTTGAACCAAGGCAAAACTGTTGGCATTGCTGAAGGTCCTCTGTAACCTGTCAAAGTCTAGTTGACTGCTCTTCAGAGCTGTATTTAGTGCAGGAAAAATCAAGCAAAATAACACAAATAAGAAGGTCATAAATTCGACATGCTGATGTGCAAGCAGCCACTGCAAGGAACTTACATTGTGACAGCCAGGCGGTTGGGCAGGAAAACTGCTCTATGTGGAATAACTGTTATCAGTAAAGTGCCTACATAAATAAACCAGCAAATCAAGTTACTTTGCAACACTGGCATTTATTATACAACTGTCCTAAGTAATCATCAGACGAGAGACGAGACAGCTTGTATCACGAAGGGCTGAAGTGCCCAGCCCCTAAGGTCAGCCAGCCTTAACAATGCTGCCTCCAAACACCGCTTTCCAGCTCTTTTGCAGGAAAAACAACTAACTCACTCCTTCCTCACCCTCCTTATGAAATACATTCATATGAATTTTGCAGGATTTAATTAGCAAAACCCAAATACATTCTGTAAAACGTTATCTCAACTCTACTTTTTTTTTCTTTTTTTTTTTTTTTTTTTCCCCAGGAAAACATAATGCAACTGATAAAGAAAATGGAGACTTTGTAATCCTTAGGAAGCCAGTTCGTGAAACTAATTCATACAAATTATTCTCTGACATTTCCATTTCAAGTTCATATTTGCTACCCTGTGAGAAGATTTCTTCATATTTTTGATATTTAGCTTCAGAAAAGAGAGATTACATCATCTACCACAGGTCACAGAACAAGTCTGTGCCTGGTACTTTGCACCTCTTTTCACTATCTCAACCAGAAAACAAATCAAGGGAAAGAAGATAAGGGAAAGACAGTTTTATGTTTATTTTCTTCCATAGTTGTGAAATACACCAAATCTCACCTTACTTCTCCACTGCCTTTAAAGGAGAATTCCTCTTTTTTCCTGATTCTGATGCATACAGCAACCTTATATGGATGCTGTCTAACCAACATCTCACAATAAACAAGACATCCCACCCCCAGTAATCCTCAACAGGCCAGAAAAACGCAATCATGGAAACACAATGAAGGCAGTGACTCATGTATAGATATAAAGTAGGCTCCTAACCTTCTTCCAGATAAAGAAAATCTGTTCTGGAGTCCCTAAAGTACCTACAGGGGTCTCTTAAAGCTCAGAAGCTATTCAAGGCCACCTATATAATGTGATATTTATAGTACATTAGAAATTTCTCAAGGTGAGGACCTACTTTTAAGTTGTTATAGATCATCAGGAACACACTGGTTTATGTAAATAATAGTTTATGAGGTCTGTATTTTTTTATTTGTGCATTCATATGCAAAAATATATAGGGAGTAACATTACCCTACGGGAAAACATCAGCAGCAAAGATTCCTTCTACTGACCTCTAAAGTAGTCATACTAATGAAACTATAAACTTCCCACAGTTTTTTGCTGCATGGTGACTAGTTCTTTTTAACACAGATTTCTCTTAAAAAGCCCCAGGTACCCAGGAAGTATTCCTAAGTAACCACAACAAATATTAGTAAGGTTCATGTCTAAAAAATATCTGCTGCTGAGACCAAGCAAATCTCTTGCAGGTTCCTTCAGTGCTATCTATTACTTTTCCAGTAATCTTGATTAAGCCATTTAAAATTTCAAATAAGAGATATAAGCAGCACAACTTCCTTGTAATAGAGTTAGTCATCATATCTCTAAACCATAACAAATACCTTTTTTTCAGGTAGTTTAAAAGACAGACAGCAAAATGACATTTCGGCTTTTATTTACTGGATCTACAATTACTTCTGAGATTAGCAAGCTAGAAATAGGATATTTCTCCTATAGTTAATTTATGCTGTGCTGAGCCACTTTCACTATAATTAACCTTACACTGAGAGGCTAATAATGCAATACACAGAGATGCACTTCAGCCAAACACAGCATCTGTGAAATGACACTTGTTTCCTCTGAGTAAAACTTTCTGGTTTCCTAGACCATACTACAGCAACTAGATCTTATGGATCCACCTGCGTCTTCAAGAGAAATGTTTTAAGAACAATATGAAAGTCAAACAGTGGGGACAGACTTTTTTTTTTAAACTCTCTTCAGATTTATTGAATGAACTCATAAGCCCTTTAAACACGCTAGAATCTTTACTTTTTAAAAGTTATGAGTGACTTATATTTAGTCCCTTCTGTTGTAGTAGTCTTTAAGAAAGACAAAACCAAAAAAATCCATGGGCTAAATTGTTGACATCTGCATAGATGAGTTATTCTAGTGTAGGTAACCCATAAACAGGGACAACTACAGCAGGACAGTGCATCCCAAAGGGCAACCTGCAGGCTTTGGTAAATAGCCCTAGGCTGTATGTACAGCACGTAGCCCAAAAAATCTGCAGACCCACCTAGCCCTCATGATGGAAGCCTATGGGAGGAAAATGGGGCAATTACAGTGTTTCCCTCAAGCTGTGTGGTGGTCTACATCCTAAATTTCATTTTTGGTTAGTGGTGTGGAAAAAAAAAAAAATCAGAACTGCTGCTGCCATAGTCGCGTTGCTCTACATGACCTCTACTCTCCATGGGTACACTGTCACACAATTAACAAAGTACACAGCTGAGCCCACCAGCCGAATTTGTAGCACCTCTGTGAAAGTGTATTTAAGAAAGGGCAGGCAAGGCCAAGGAGGGCCGGTAGGTGTTTTGTGGTGGAGTAGTTGTGCTCCTGAAGGGACTGCAGCTGGGGAGGGCCCGTGCTGGGGCATAGGGAAAGAATGAGGAGCCGCAGAGAGAAACCACCGTGCACTGACCCCAACCTCTTGCACTGCTCCTTGTCTCGCTGAAGGGACCGAGAGCAACCTTTGGTGGTAACAAGGAGAGAGCTGTGGAGTGGAAACTAGGAATGGGGTAGGAGAGGTGTCTGAAGTGAAGCTGAGCCTGAAAAAAGGACGAGTGTTTTCCTGAAATGTCTAAGTATTTGTTTGTTTGTTTTCTTTTCAATATCCAAATCACTACTTAAATATTTATGTTAACTAGGCGATAAGCTAAGTTTCCAAAGGCAATTCTGTTTGGCCTGTGTGGTATCTGGTAAGCGATTTCTCTCGGACGTTACTCTGTCCCGCTTGCTTCCTCCCTCCTTTGCTGCTCTGGCCGCCGCCGCCAGAGAAGCGGCGGGGCGGTGTCCCCCCCCCCCACTCCCGGGCCGCTGCCAGGGCAGCCAGGCCCCCGGAGGGCGGCCCGGGGCCGAGGCAGGCGCCGCGCCGCGCAGCCGAGGAGGGACGGCAGGCCAACGCGGGGCCGCGGGGAGCTCGGCGGGCGGTACCGCCCTGAACACGCGTGAGGCGAGGACGGCAGCTCCGCTCCTGTATCGGCGGGAGCCCGTCCCCCCACCCCCCCTCTTTCCTCCCCCCCCCCCACCGGCGCTCGAGCGTTCCCCTGCCTCCCGCCCCGCCGAGGGAAGAGGGGCCGACGCTGAGGGGGGAGGCGGCCGGCGGCAGACGTTACCTCCACCCACTCGGCCTCGGCGCCGCGCTCGGGCGGCTTCACCTGGAGCCGGGCGGACACGCACTGCTGCAGCAGGGCCCGCGCCAGCGCCATGGCGGGCGCCCCACGGCCTGAGGGCGGGCCGCGCCGCGCCGCCCGGTAACGCCTTTCCGGCGCGGCAGGCCGCTCGCCGCCGGGCCCGGGGCGGGGGGGACAGGGCCCCCGTCCCCGGGAGGGCGGGAAGCGGGCGGCGGGCGATGGGGAGCAGCGGGCACGGCGAGCCGGGCCTGGGCACGGCGCCGAGGGAGAGCCGGGCGGAGCGGCCCCGGCTCTGTGAATAGCCAGAAGCGGCTTGTGTCGCAGGTAAGCGATAAAAGAAGGTTCTTGCTAAGAATGTAAGGGAAAAAATCAGCAAATGCTGTTTGCAGAAGGTTAAAGCAGGGCTTGTGATCTGTCGGTATCCCTCTAGGGAGGGGGCAGCCGGGGGAGATACAAGCTATGAACAGAATAAGCAAAAGTATTTCTGCGGCTCAATTTATCGATGCCCTACAGCTAGCAGGAAGCGGGGGTTTGGTGGTTTTGTTTTGTTTTTAATGAGAAATGAAAAATCTGCTTGTCTTCTGGTTGGGAAATGTTACATGCTTGGAGTAAAAATAGTATGCTGTGTAGTTTCTGCGTGAAAAAGAATTATTTATCTGAGTATTGCTTGTCACTTGCTTCTTTAAAAACAAGTAATGTTTCTGTTTCAGGTGACTGAGATGAACATACCAAGTTGGAGCATTTCTCTTCAATGATGCTGCTTTGGAGCAGAGGGAACAGAAAATAATGCAGTGAAAAGGGATCTGGATAGCTAGGGATCAAAATAGTGATCTGAAAAAAAAAAAAAAAAATCAAACCAAAGCAAACCTGCATAGTTCTGAAATGAGATCTCACTGCTAATTGAAAAACTTATCGTGTATTGCAATTGCTTCTTTTATTTTCTTTCAGGTTTTTGGCTACATACCCTGATATTCATTGAACAGCTCTGAAATTAGAAGAGTTGTGCCTTCTGCCTGTTTGTGAATTCTGACAGATAAAAGTTTTGAAATATGTTGGCTTCAGCAAAGTCAGGATGGAGTGATGCAGAATTCAGTGTCTCTCTGAATTCATTTTAAGACTAAAGATTTTAGTTTTACAAACATGTTTGTTTTTTTATTAAAATAAAAAAATGTAATACATAACAGTATGGTTAAGAAGCCAGGTTTTATTACCTGGCCTCAATCACAGAGTAAGATTACTGAAGATTACTGTTGCACAGCATGAGGCAATATGCACTCATGAATAGCCGGTGTTATATGTGAGGATATATTGGGATTCCGTCTATTTTAAAATAATATTCTCTCTTGCATGAGTGTTCAGTGAGGTTTCTCTTCCCAAAGCAAACCTTCATGGAAGAAGAGGAAATTGCACTAGGTGGTTAGTGTATAAACTAGCTCATTTTTGCTAGCTGTAGGGTATTGTTAAGTATGAGCTGTTTTTATTTAAACTTAGCTAATTTTATTTAAAATACCTTCTGTTCATTTACTCTAAAGCTGTATCCCCAGACTCATTAAGAAGAGTTTAATGAGGTAGAAATCCATTTAAAATGAGAGATTTTTCCATATATATTTGTGATATAAATTGATTGTTACGGAAAATGGATTATGCTACAGTTTGAGCACATTATGTAAGATTATAAAGGGATATTAATATACAAGGATATTAATTGTTCTTTGTTGCAGTACCGTTATTTACATCAGGATTTGATGGAGAACACTTATTCATGTGTAAGTTTCAACACAAACGCCTGTGAAACTGTATAGAAAAATTAGTATGACATTATTATTTATTCATAGTGGAATTACGTCATATTTTCCTTGGGAAGCCAAATTCATTTTGTTGTAATGCATCTTGAATTTCTTTAATCTTATTGGCCCATAGTTAAGGGCCTCTCTGTATTCCAAAGAATAATAGTAAATTTGTTGGTTAAATTTTAGATGAGAGTTTGTATTTGACTGTGGTTTTCATATAGAGAAGAACCTCCTGACATCTAAAGAATATATCCATGCATAAAATATCAATATATCTTTATTGATTATTCTATAAAGACGTTTGTCTGCAGTTTTTGGATTTGACAGCAGTCCCAGAATATTCCTTGTATTCTCTCTGCTTGTTGTCACTCGAGCAGAGAGTAGGTATTTTTAGAATGGTATTCAGAAGACATTTCTGGTTATTTTCACATCACTTCTCTATCAGATGGGCAGATGGCAGTATGAACCATTTCTCACAAATTTCAGTGGACATGTGTTTTTCCTTACCCTTTGTGTTGAATGGTCATGCATATTTCATGTACATTTAATGGAATGAATTCTTTTGGGAGGAGGGGGGTGGGTGCTGGGAGCTCTGCCTCTGAGGGTACTTAGCTTTTTCCTGTTCTATCCGAGGATGAAACGCTAGTGGTCTTTCAGTATCAAAATGATCTCAAGTGGTCTTGAATTCTTCCCTAGGGATGATTTTTTTTTGTTGTTGTTGTTAGGATTAAGTTTGGAATTACATATCATTTGGCAGGGGCAGTAGTTGACTGGAACTTTGAAGGGACAAGATGCATTTTCGATGTTGTTCCTTTGTCTGCGGTGTCTGAAACAATGATCAAAGGTCTTTCAAGCAACTATCACATCAACAGAGTGCCCCTAGGGTAGTGTCATCTGTTTTGAAGAGAAACTATACAAAGCTGCAGTGGCACTTGGATAGCAAAGATACAAAATAGGTTGCTGGTAAGGGTTATATCTTGGTAGAACTACCTCATGTGGGACAGAGCTTAAAGGCTGCAGTGTCAAGGGAAGAATTGGATTTAAATGTTTTATTTTTTTCATTGGCCAGTGAACGTTCTCTTCCCCCACATACAGAGATTAAAAAAAAAAAGGGGGGGGGGAAACTACAAGTAGCAGGGCACATATAAGGAAAGAGAGTACTTAGTTAAATCACTTGGAAACATTTAGTAGATTCACAGGTGGATGTCACTACTGCTGTGAAGGGTGAGAGAACTGATGGACTCTGCTGTGCTAGCTGTTAGAGGTGCCGTTAGAGGAATTTCATGATCAGAGATGGCCTGGAAAGTGGATTTTGCAGCAGTGAATTGCAAATGTCCATCACAAGATAAAGAAAATTGTCAAATACTTTGTAAACTAGGATTAATGTTTAAATAAAGTACACTTTTTAACTTGGCCGTGCTGAAACAACAGATCAATCCCTCAAAAAAAGAAAAAAGATAGAGCAGAAGGTTAGTCTAAGATGTTACAACTACAGTGACACAGCTCGGCATGGTAGTGTGTTTTGAAGTTATGTTTACAATCTTATATCCTGAACTGATTCAAGTCCTTTCTGTTGGATGATGATCACTTTTTCTTCTCTTTTGCTTCCAGTTTATTTATTTTGCTTCTGTTTCTGAGCTACTCAGACTATTCGTGCTATCTGGTGCTTTATATTTGGTGATTCTTTCTTTTATAGCTGTTTATCAGTCTAGTTCAAGACTTAATTAAGCTTTCTTCTTTCTACAGCCTCAGAATTGCTAGTTGAAATGGTGATTAGTTGGAAGAAAGAAGATACTGCTGTACAGCGATGTGGGTATAGAGAGGTTTAGGTGGTGGTGTTAGAATCATGTTATTGTCTAAGTAGCAGACACATTATGATGACTATATTTAGTACTGGCTTCTCTTATTCAAAGTGCTGTCCAGACATTAAGGTCAGGAGTATGTCTGCCTCCCAACCATTGTTCTTCCTCCAGAAGTATTTAAAAAGGAAAGTGGAGAGAGGACATAAGGAATTTCCTTGGTAGAAGTCAAGCAGCTGAAATTAGATGGAGTAGCAGTTCTCAGAGACCACAGCTTTGCACAGTGCCTGTGTAAAGCTACAAGAAATAGCTCATCCACAGAAGACATGGGGTGAAGACTCATCAAATTTACTTTCCAAACAGATCCCCAGATATGTTTAGCTTCCAAAAGAAGCATTGCAGACTTCTGGGGGAAAATGAGAGGAAGAGATGACACTGATTTTTATCATTCTGGTTTCTACCATAGCTCTGAGGAAGGTTGTGTCTTCTTTGGCCCTGGCTTTGTAGCTTCAGAGTTGGTACACCTCTTCAGCTTTTCCAGCAGAACCAGCTTACCGTTCCCACAAATGTTAGAATTGTTTCCAGTGAAGGCTGGTATTTGTGTTGTGGAAGAGCAGTCCTGTGATTTGAGCAGTTGATTTTATGATTGTTTAACATTACTATAGACAAAAATGCATCAATAGCTTCTACGAGTTGGAACCTGAGTTTCCATGTTTTCAATAGATGCCATATGTAAAATTATCAGATTATTGGCATAAAGTATGCAGCAAAAATGAAATACATTATTAAAAATAAACTAGTATTTTGTGTAGTCCTTCATACAATTACAAAACAGGTACTGAAATGTGTTCAATTAGAGTAATCAAAAGTTAATTAAATTTCTGAACAACATAACAAATTCAGTGTGAAGGCTGTGTCAGGCACAATTACAGCTTTTCTAAGTGAGAAGGGGAAATTTGGCTCTATGAGAAAGGTAGCCAGATAAAGACATGCAATCTGCTTGCTTACTATGATTGCCTAAAGGAAATAAGAGCACTATTAATCACAGTTTCTCTAAAGGCGTCAGGCATGTTCATTTGCCTGTGACATTTAACTACTGTGTTTTTTCCCTGTTTGGGTGTCTCTTTTACCAAACCTTTGCATGATTGACAGACACAGTTAAAAAGACTTCTGTATCCTGCTCCAATGAAATCGACAGAGCAGTGGGACTAGCCTACCTACAGTATGTAGCAGAGGTTCTAATTGTAACATCTCATGCTGGTTAGAAGTAAACAATTTTTTTCACAGCTGAGCTAATTTAATAAATCACAGTCCTGAACCTTTCTTATGCAGAGTCAACCTTGACTTTCAGCACAATACTCAATTCTAGAATTCAGAGGGGTGTTGTACCTAGCCACCAAATTTGACTCCTGGAAGAGTCCCTCACAGGTCAGCAGTTCTGTGCTCTTCTTAGCAATAGTACTGCCACATCCAGGCTGATCCCTGCAGGCACATTCAAATGTCTTTGTACTTGCTTCCCTGGTCTCTGGAGTTTGGAATCTGGGTTCTACACACTGGGAGTGCGTGGAAATTACTTGGATGTAGAACAGTAAGTGAAGCAGTGGTGAGGGAAGAGGCGCCCACCCAGGTATAGAAGGCTCACCCTACGGTCACAGGCCTGCAGCAAATGGGGAGGAGTGCTGAATGAGAGTCAGGAGCTGTACGGGCTGTTCGCCATCCCTGAGGAAGCTCGGTACCCCTACTCAGGCCAGCTTTGATCAGTGAAACTCGGCTCCTTGTGCTCCATACGGAGCTGCTGACCGCCCGCCTGCGCAGAGCCCAGCACTGGTCTGGCAGTGTGGTGGGTGGCAGTTCTGCTTTGCTTCCAGCCCCCGAGCTGACCCCTGCCTGACTGCTAGATGGGTGTTGCAAACTGGGTTCTTCCTAATGGAGGGAGGTATTTAGGCCGGGCCGTTGCAGGTGCTGTGGAGCACAGTTCCTACATTCTTTAGGCCCCACCTTCAGGGTAGGTTTGGTGCAGACTTGAGGTGACTCCACCAAGTGCTTGTGCTGTACTCTGCAGCCCCTGTCATGTGAAAGAATTAATCTGTTCTCTTCCCTAGGTATTGCTGCATCACTGCTCTCTGCCTCTCAAACACTTCTGCTATAATAATTGGTACTACAGAGGTGTGTGTTTGATAGTTAATTTTTTTTTCATTTACAGTGAGAAATTTTAGTGGTAATTTGAGGGTGTTGGTAAAGACAAAAATGTATCAGTATCTTCTAGGATCTGGAACTTCGGTTTCCATGTCTTCGGTAGTTGCCATACGTAAAACAATCAGAGTATTGGTATAAAACTGCATCGTGTTACTAGAATTGTACATGGATTGAGACATGGCTTCTCTATGTTGCTTTCACAAACAGTGTGAAGGGCCATTTAATATTCTCTATCTACCTGGAGGACTCCTTGCCTCCAGTTACTGTTGAGTGTACAGGCATAACCAGTGCATGTCATTTTTTTTGCATTTACACAGATGACTTTCAAAATAAAACTTACCACAGCTTCAGGCCAAAATCTTTCTCCTTGAGCCACAGCTCCTATCATTTTTTTCCCCTCAGGCATACTGATCCTTAGCTAGTCAGGAAAGCATGCACACAAATGATAGGTCATTAGGAAATTCTCTGAATAGCAAACCTCTGAAGTCATCCCAAGTGTGATTTGCCATGCATCATGCTAAAACTGGGTAAGTTTGAGGAGGCACTAATTACATGCTTGGGCTGTCATTTATCAGTTGTCGGAGCTGTTGTTCCCAGAACACAGCAACCTCTTTTGTGGCATAGTTCAACAAGATTGCCAGAGCTCAATGAGCAAAGCAGGGTTGACAGATTTTGGCATTTTATTCCCTTCAATGTAAAATCATTGCATTACAACACAAATGGGTATCTCACTTTGGCATAACACAGCATCATATACAGATACAATAATGTTGATCTATGGGCTTTTCTTAAAATTATATTTTGGAAACTCATTCCCTTTTAGAACAAATGGCAACTGTAGCAGTTTCATTTACCATCAGCCTTTTTGATATTTTGTTTCAGTTAATACAATAGTGTATAATATGTAATCCTTTCATGATTTTAACCAAAATAAATAGAAGGTGAACTTGTTTCCCCTCAGGGCTTGTGGGAAAAAAAGGAGATGTTTAATGCTGTGAGCTAAGTAATAGAAGATTGTAAATTCTAATGAATATTCATGACATCATATAAGGTAACAGAGCACGTGTCAAGAAATAATGTGGCTTCCTGCTAGGACTTCCAGTGTGGTTTAACATGTTTCAGAGAGCTTGTATTGTCAATAATTGTTTTTAAATATTTAATTTTCACACTTTCTTAAAGCACAGATTTTTTAAAATGCATGTTTCTGAATTCATTTGGGGTGATATTATTACTTTATTATTTGATACCTCCAAAGCACTGCAATGATGAAAAGGATATTTTTTCCACATAATCTTGGGGTTTTTCTTAAGCTGCCAAAGGTTCACAGTTACTTTCTTTCACAATAGATACTAAATAGCTGCTACAGAGTGCAAGTAAAACAGTTTATCGTCAATATTTGATGTTCTAACAGAATAGAAAAATGGTATTTGGTGTAATTTAAAGAGCTTTTTATTTCACAGATAATTCTGGGAACTGCTGGAGGCTCACATTTTTATGAATAATTGGATAAAACAATTACTCTAACTTGGGATGTTTTAATATCAATTACAGATATTTAATCTTCCCCTGGATATTCTGTTGCCTATAGGACAAAAAATAATTGTGTCTTCATAGTGACAGTTTGAGTGAGGGCCACATCCAGATTGAAAATACCTTCATTTTGGTGCCCACAAATAAATTCCAGCAGAAATATGAGGTGTTTTGACTCGTACTGTAGAAAACTCAGATATAGTTAATGTACTCTGGAGCTTAGGGAATGACTCAGCTCAATTTCAGGTGAACCTCTAGGCTACGTATGTACTAGGAAGTTAATCGCAGGAAATATTCTTGGACACTGCAACTCATCTTTACTTTTAATAGTTCCTGACATACTTTTTGCCAGGGCTCACTCACTAACAAAATAATTCTGGACCTGGTTCAGCAGTTAAGATGGGCCAGAGCCCATTCTCAAGAGATGGGTTGCATGACACCACCCTGCTTGGCAAACCTCCTTTTTCTAACAACTTTGAGTCCTGAGTGTGAGCTAATAAGCCAATTGCTGAATTTAACAATCACTTAGTGTCAAAACAATTTTGTATTTTCTATCAATAGTCCCTTGATTTCCTATAATACTGTTCTATTTCTTCATGTCAAAGTTTGATTAAATTGGTATTTCAAAAAGTACAGTGCAGTCCTTAAGTGGCAGTAATTAGAAGAATGCAGATTAAACTTATTTCTGTGGTTGAGTTGGTTTTCAGAACTTAAGTTTTGAGATCCACAGGCCAAGAGCTTTCCTGAAGAATTCACTAGAAAATTGCCTTCCTCTGAACCAATTACAATGAGAAACCTAGTTACTTTGTTGTAGGGAGCCATGAACCCAGTCCCGCTTCTCTTCATGCCCAGGTAGCTGGGATGGAGAAGAAAGCAAAGGTAAATTCTCTGAATTGTGAAGACCTTGTTCAGCTTCTTCTAAAAGTTAAATTTCAAAGGATCTCTGCTTCAGGCTGTTATTTCCTTGGCCTAAGCTTCCTATAAAGGAGAAAATAGGCAAGTTATAAACATGCCTATCTTCACTCCTTGTGCTAGGAACATCAGTTGGCTCTGCTCTGCCTAAAGCAGCCTACTGTTTGACATTAAATGATATTAGCATAATTTAAAAACTGAGGCACTGTGTGTCTCTCTTTGGGGGGTAAATCAGTAATAGTAACATTTCAGCATAGGAGATCAGAAATCAGAAACTAGATTATGTTCCTGGATCTGCTTCTGGCTCAGTGTAGAACCCTGAAGAAGAGTTACTTTCCTTCACATTTGAGGATTAACCAGAGGATTGCATCCTACGAATCAGCTGCTCTGGGGCCACAATGGTAGAGTGCCTCACAGTTTTATATGCTAGTGCTTCAAACAGGGTACAGAGACACAAGAAGTGTTCTTGGCCCACATTTATTTTCATCTGAGATGTGTCCTTGCAGACCAAAACACTCTGGAGCAGGTTGCTCCTGGCATAATTGTGGAACTGGTCCATATACACCCAAAGTACATCGGTGCCCTTCTGAAATACCTTGCACTGCTAGTTTACTGGGAATTAGGAGGTAAGTATTGAATGGCCACGGAGCAAAACTGAACTGGTTTGGAACATGAACCGGATTTTTAAAATAATTACTACACAGCAAAAACACTGAAAGTTGATGTAATGTCTCAGTCTCATTGGTCGAGTAAGATTAATTTGCTATACGGAACTCATTCAGACTGAAGGTTTTTGATCTTAAACATGCTTTCTGTGAAGCATAAGCTCATTACTGATAAAATTGAATGAAGAACAGAATTAAAAATATTTCAGAAACTGAAACTGTGACTGAATGTCATTATGACTCAGACCAATGGTGTCAAATGGTTTACTGAAGCTTTAAGGACAGTGACCATTTTTTTATTGTGTATTTATACAATGTCTAATTCAATAGGGCTCTTTCTGCCCCTGGGACTCTTATCATTGCAATTTATCTCCATTACTGGAAGAAAAAAAAAAAAAAGGAAAGAAGAAGGAAAGAAAATGCCAGTTTTCCTTCAATGCTTGTAAAATGTATGGTAAACATTAAGAATAATTAAAAAAAAAATCAAAACCTGTGTTCTCTTCAAGTATGGAAATACTGTTAATTGGAGTTAATTATATTCATGCAAGGAATATCTATATATCAGGTACCTACAAAAAATTATGTGGCTTTGTTACTGAAGGGTATATTCAACAAAATAAATCCCTTCATTTTCTGCACCACTTGCTTAGGGCTGGAGAAATTGCTGTAATATCAGCTTCATCTTCAACAGGATGTGACTGTTACTATAGTAAGCAATATTAACCTGAAGAACTTGATGACTGACTTCAGAAGAATTTAGTGATAATTTGAATAAGGTTTCCATCTTTTCTTGACTTGGAAGGACTGCACTGATTAAAATGTCCACATGAAAGCAATATACAAACTAAATTGGGCTCAATATTGCCAGGCCTTCTTCCTCATTTAGCAAAATAGAACTAAAGGAGACAATTTCTTTCTCAATTTAAGGTTTGGCAGAGCATTCACACAGGGTTGAGCTACTTTTGTGTTGTTTTATTTATCAAAAATATTAATACACATGATAAAGAAAAATGAATACATTACTGTTTCTTATGTGTTTTCATTGTGCTTAAGATGTTGCAGTTTCAAGTATTGCCGTATATAAAGAACAAAGTTTGCTTCTTAAACAAGGTGGTACACCGTATGAAATCACAGGTAAACCTCACTTGTTCTGTATGGATATTTGAAATTAGAATCTGTTAAAATCCCTTGGGCCAAATTTACTTTGCAACATAACTGTGGACATAACTGCCTCGGTATCTAAGCATAGCAGGAAAAAGGCGCAAGAAGAGAAATTGTAATGAATGACAGAGGCAAAAGCATGACAGACATAAGGACTCATCATACACGCCTGCAGTCATTTTCTCCTCTCATGCCTGAAATTCCCTACTTAAATATGTTGGAGGTGTGCTTTACTGATGTGGCTGGAGTCTGTTACCCCCAAGTATGACACCAAGCCCACATACCCAAGCTCTGCCAAGCTGATGCTGGTCTGTGCAGGACCAGATCGTGTGTCTCAGCATTAAGTAAAGCAACCTGGAAGTTGCTTTAACTTGCATGAAGAGCATAGCAAAGATAAAGCAAAGAACTCGCACCGGTAGGCATTTTGGCTCGGTTTATTTTGCAGCCTGATCTAGTTTGTCAGCCCCACTGGAGAATCCTAGAGTGGCAAGAGCCATGCAAGCAGCTCTAGCTTGGTGTCAGAGCTGCCAAAGGGAGGAGGTGGCAGCCATTCTGAGACACAGCACACAGGCTGGGCCAAGAGGTAACACCAAGGAGCCCGAGGCTCCCTGCACCAGCAGTTGTTGGGCAAGAGCACAAGAAGTCCCAGAGGATTACCATTTTTTTTTCCAAACTAGGCTGAGCTTTAAAAAAGCTTGGGAACAACTGCTCCTGTTTAAGATAGCATGGAAAAAAGGCAACATGATGACCCCAGGTGTCCTCCTTGCTCTCCAGCACTCTGAGGTTCAGATAGAAGCAGTCTTCAGCTTTTAAAAGGCAATCGTAGTGAAAGTTTTCCTGGCTTCTCTGGAAGTACCACAGATTCCATAATTTTTCAGGGCATTGTATCTTATTTTACTATATAACATTACGTCGTGGTTTGAGCCTGGTCAGAAGCCAACCACCACGCAGCAGCTCTCTCTCCCTTCTCTTCTGGCAGTAAGAAGGGACAGAGAGCCAGGCTTGGAGTTCGAGATAGGACTGGGATGGGGAAAAAAATCCCCCTTTATGGTCACAAGCAAAAGGCAGACTCGTTAGGGGAAGAAAAAAAGAGCATACATTGATTACAGACACTAACAACACATAACATAATAGGACAGTGAGAAGCATTGCCACATCTTGAGAACACCTTCCCCCCACCCCTCCCTTCTTCCCGGGCTCAATTCCGTTCCCGATACCTCTACCTCTTCCCCTAGCAGCACAGGGGCAGGGAATGGGGGGTGCAGTCAGTGCTGCTACTTCCTTTATCTTCGGGGGGGGGGGGCTTCTGGAACTTGTTCCCCTTGCTCCATCGTGGTCCCCCTCTCACAGGAGACAGTCCTCCACAAACTTTCTCCGACATGAATTCCTCCCATGGGCCGCAGCGTTCCCCACACTGCTCCGTCATGGGTCACTAACTTCCTCTGACCGGATTGTCTCCCACGGCTGCAGCCCTTCCCGAGCTGCTCCGGCGTGGGACACCCCTGCACGCTGCAATCCTCCCAGCACTGAATTACAGCAGCAGGGCTACCTTTTCCCATGAGACCCCGGCCTTCCTTGGGCACAGCACCTTGATCACCCAGGAGAAAACGACAGACCATAAATCAATGTCTGCTCCACCATAGATCTTCACGGGTGTGGGGGGGGGCCGCCCTGCCGTCTCACCACAGGATACAGGGGGGTCTCTGCTCCGGCACACCTCCCCCCTCCTTTCTTCCTCCGTTCCTCCACTGACCTTGGTGTTCACGCAGCTGCAGCAACTCCTCCTCACCAGTCCGACTGCCCGTCACCACGTCCCTTCTTAAATACATTATCGCAGAGGTGCAGCTGATTGGCTCAATTTTCCAAACAGAAGTGGAGCTGACGTGGAGCTGGGGGAGCTTCGAGAAGCTTCTCACAGGGGGCCACCCCTATAGCCCCCTCCCCTGCCACCAAAAAACTCCACCACTCACTCAACCCAGGACACAGTATATGGAAGATTATCTCGTAATTTAATGCATTCATCTATATTTCTTAATCATACAACATCAGCCTCATTGTCTGTCACATGAGCTTTGGTAACTGGCCTAAAACTTAATAATCTTAGACTTCCTTTCTTCATGAATAGGTAATTATTGAGATGTGGACAAAAAAGATAAAAAGCAACATTTTAACCTTATTTATCTTAAATGGGTCAGGGCTGGCTGACCAGCCAGGGTAAAAAACCAGAATTGGTGACCTCCATGCCACACACTGACCCTGGTGTACTATGGCATACCTCTGCAGCCAAAAATTACAGGCCTGTTCATGAAGCTAAAATGACCCCTTGGTTTTGAAGACCATTTCTTTAGCCTTTCTTTAATACAATTTCTAGTTTAAATTGTGACCAAAATGAATGGCTCATATGAATAAGAGTTTGCAGCGTGTCCTTAACTTACTATATTATTAATGCCATATTATGCAGACACCCAGAAATGAGAATGGAAACACAGGACTCCATCAGCACTGAAAGCTTACAGTCTTGATAATACACTCTTCTTTTAACTGCATACTTCCTATTGCACCCAAATCAACCTAGTTATCTACCAAGTCATTTTTCAAATGTCAACTAATTTTTAAAATTTTGAGTCATTTGGCAGCAAATTTCTCCTAGCTGTATCTGGATACCCTTTGTTGATTTTGGGTGTAGAAAGAATACATTTAAACACAAGACAATCTAATTTCAGACAAAAATCAATTATATTTTTATCCATTAGTGTTCAGGCTGAATAGAAATTTAAAGTTTTTGAAATATTTTCTTATGCTTATTTAAAGATAATGTTATCAATTTGCATTAAAATTAAATATTGTATTTTTCATTTTGTTGAACTGTTGAAAAGTTCAGAGCAGAATTTTCTGAAAGATGCAGAGATTGCCTGTAGTTTCCATAAAGACTCAAGTCTGGCAGTAAAATCTTTGTTAATTTTTGGTTGTCTTTTCCTAGACTCATAATTTGGCAGTGTATGTTGACTGCAATGCCATGTTGGGCAAACAACTTAGACCAATACTTTCAAATGTTAAAATTGAAAGAGGAAGCCAGAAGCAATTATGAGAAGTATGTAATCCATAAAACTGTCTTCACAATTAGTAGAGATGATGGAATACTACTTAATCAAACCGTAATCAATATATTCCACTATTAACAGTCAAGGTATTTTGAAAATGTCTGCTTTATTGCTGAGCAAATTTAATCCCATTCTAATGGCAAAATTCTACTTTTCATAATCACAATCAATACAACTTACTACTTTATTAGCTCCTCTACTATTAACAAAGAAGTGCTAAAAGAAATTATTAAAACTAAAAATACTGAGAATTGTTGTTTCTCAGGTGACAGTTTGGAAAACTCCTTCAGCTCATTTTTCAAAAAATCAATTTTATTTTGTGCTAGATCAGCTTTACAAAAAAAAAAAAAACCCCACAAAAATATTTGTGAGGGTTGTTTGGGTTGGTGTTAGAGCTATTCTCAGAATCAAAGAGTATATGATGGAATTTTTTGCCATTTTATTTTCTTTGTATAGGCTTAGAAGTGATGGATATCTAAACTGTAAGCCTACCAGTGATCCTGCAATACTGATTTAATTTCTGTGAGATGCATAGTATTTTGCACTTTAACACTGCCTTCAACTACTCAAGGTAGGAAAACCAATTATGCAAATTTCTTGCAAGGTAAAAGGTAACATGGTTTCCTGAGGCAGTGAAAAAAAGGCCCTTAAGGCAGATCTGTATTGTAGTTTCCAATTAAGTGGCTCATTGGTTTTCAGTATTCTTTTGCATTTTCATCTGGCAGTAGGGTAAATTATTGGGAAACTATCTGACCTCTTCAGGTGTCTGTGCTAGCTATGCAAAATACGCTCATGTGGGTACAACAAAAATGATAGGTTGAATGAGAGTCTCTTAAAGGATAGCAAAAAATTGTTATTGTAATTTTTATGTGGTAGCAGAGCACTGGAATAAGCCTTTGAAAATGGTGGTTTTTAGCAAGATGCTTGATTAGCTCTTTCAATAAAAGTCAAAAAATAACATTTAAAATAGTGGTGAAAATTCTACTCACTGTGAAAGAGAGAAAATGTTTATTATAATAACGCTTTAAACCAGTGTAAAATACTCTGATCCATTACATATTACAACACATACCAACAAAGGACACTATCTACACTGTATTTTATTGTTGAAAACTAATGGCCTGAAACTGCCAAAATTTGAATTACTTCTATAATACCACTTAGATGAATAAGGGCTATTCATGGAATTGTCAAAAGCAAATCATGTCAAACCAACCTAATTTCCTTCCACAACACGGTTACAAGCCTTGTAGGTGGGAGAGAAGCAGCAGATGATGTGTATCTTCAAGCTTTAAAGAAATCTCCACAACATGAGGAACAGAAACATGGTTTTGATGAAACTTCTTCAGAGTGTGTGTAAACTGTTTGGAAACCCGAAACTGTAACCAGAGTAACTTTCAACTGCATCAGTATTATTTTAAACAAAACAAAACACCCAAACAAAAAACCCCAAACAAACAAAAACAACAAACCCAAACAACAGGTGGTATCCGTCCTGGCTACAGGTCTCTTTGTTCTTTTAATGAATGACTCAAACTATGAAATGGCATATATTTATATATTTATTATATTTGCATAAGACTCAAACCAAGGAGGGACCAAGCTGTTGGCCAACCCTTTTGTGGGCCAAAACGAGAATTCAAAAGGCACCAACAGGCCGAGGGAGTGCTACAGAGAAACCAGAACCAGATTCAGAGGCGCCAGGTACAAGACTGTGAGGAATAACCCCAAGCCAATTTGTAATGCATGTGGCCACTCGGCATCTTCCCCTCGGGCCCAGTTTTCTTGCAGGCAGCGGCAAGGCGCTGCGTTTTTTGCGCTGCTGCTTCGCAGTGCCACCGCTCGGCACTTCATCCGGGAAGGCCTTGGTTTGTTCCACCAAGGTCTGGAGTTCTCTCAGTGTAAAATCCTCCATCTCCAGCAAGCTCTCCGCTCTCCCCGCGGCCTGCGAGGGCCGCCCGCTCCCTGCCTCAGCCCCGCGGCTGCCGGGCGGCGCACGGCCCCGGCCCCGGCCGAGCGGGGAGAGGCCCGGCCCGGCGCGGCGCGGCGCAGGGGGCGGGCTGAGGCGCGGCGAGACGGCGCCATCTCAGCGCGGCAAGGCCGGGGGAGGCGGCGGGCATGCGGCTGCCCGCTTGGCGTTGGGGGCTGCGCGCCGCCCGTCTCCTTGGTGGCGGCGGGAGGGCTCGGGCTCCTTGTGCCGCCTCCGCGGTGAGTGATGCGTGAGCTCCCCGCCGTGCGCCGGGCCCGCCCCGGGGCGGGAGGGGAGCGGGGTCGGGCTGCCTGGGTGTGCGTGCCTTTTGGGGGGCGGGGGGGGGCCGCCGCCGCCGCCGCCGCCGCCGCCGCCGCCGCCGCCGCCGCCGCCGCCGCCGCCGCCGCCGCCGCCGCCGCCGCCGCCGCCGCGGCCTGGACCGGCGGGAGAGCCCCGGCGGGCCGCGTCCCGGCGCGGCCGGTTCAGCGGTTCCGCTCGCTGCAGGGCGCTGGCAGCGCGGGGGCAGCGGGCGCGGAAGATGAGCCCGCCTGGTTTTTTCCCTCCACCTGAGTCAGTTCTGCGGGAGCAGCGAGCGGTCGCTCACCGCCTGCGGCGGTAAAATCGGGCCGCCCGGCGGTAGGTGGGACGCCGCCTGCAGAGGTGCATGCAGCTGCCCGGAGCCCGTCTGCCCAGGGCGCAGGAAAGCCGTCGCATACCTCTTCTTCCCATATAACGGCGAAGGGGGACTTGCACCCGGGACCGAGACCGGGACCCCTGGCGCGGCTCTGGGGGGAACACAGCCCCCCGGAGAGCTGCCTGCGCGCCACCGGCGCCTCAGCGCCTGGGGCGTCTCTCCCTTGGCTTTAGCGGTATTTCTTGTGCCTGAGGCAGCTGTAACGGGAAAGACCGCTAGGTCTAGCCAGCCAGTTTTTTAAAGCTTCCAACTTTCTTAAGTGATGTTTTATGCCTTTTTTTTTTTTTTTCTTCCTTTTAAGTGATAAGATCGATCATACTTGACTGTTTGTCTAAACAGAATGCCCACTGGTGTTATTTTTAAGTAGGCCCTGTTCCGACCAGCCTGCTTGCTTGTGGAGCTCTCCCTCAGGGAAAGCCTGTGTGCAAAAGGTTTTTTTAGACTAGGAGCGAAAATTTCTCAGCGTGCAGGTGGGTTCTCCCTTCATAGCTTTCTCTGTGAAAACTGCAGGTTGGTGCATACGCATTCACTTGCTTTCTGTTTTTATTAGTCCTCAAGCTCCAGGGATGAGGCTCTAAGGGACAAACGCGCCCAGATCCTGTCACGCGGGCTGCCGAAACAGAATCCCATAGAAGGAGTTAAGCAGGTGGTCGTCTTGGCTTCTGGAAAAGGGGGAGTTGGAAAATCAACAGCAGCAGGTAAGGCTATTTTTTTTTTTTTAATTACTTTCCACATTCTATAATATTTTGTAAGGAATATTTGGGCACTTCTGTCATTACTTTGTAATTAAGACCCACTAACACAGCCCTTCACCTCTGTCAAGTCCCATTGCAGCCATTGAGAATCTATGTGGGTGCAGAGGTCTTGGCTTTAAGTGAGATGTAAATCAAGTAGATGGCTTTGAAATAATATCTTTGCAATAGTGCAGTGCTATTCTGGGACAGTCTACTTTCTTAAGAGGTGTTGTAAGGTGAGGTAGAGGAGATCACATGCTGGTGCAGTGATGATATTCTTCCTTCCCTAGCATCTTAGGGGTGTCTGTACAGTGCTCCTCTGTGCTATGTCAGCATAGTCATGTGCTTCGTAGAGGATACTAATATTTAGAAGGTTTCAACATCTAGTCTCTGTCTAGTTTTTTCAACTAGTAGTATAGGCATTTCATAAACAAAAAGTGAAACAGTAGTTATAAATCATACAAATTGATCAGAGCCTTATAAAGCACCCTGAACTCTTCTCTCAGTCCCACCATTAGGTTTTGAATTAATTTTTGTCTAACTGTGCCATTCCTAGGTGATAGGTCAAGGTATTACGTGGGTTACCAGTACTGCAGAAATTTGCTTGAGCTTAAAGATGACACTGTAGGTAAACCTCTTGGAAACTATCTCTGTAAAGTGTCAGAAACTTGTTTAAAGATCTCTTCTTTAGCATATAGATTGGAAAAGAGTAATCTGTTAGTTGAATGTTGTCTACTGTTCATCTCCATTTCCTGTGAAAAACACATTGATGCAGCTCTTAATTTACAATTTTGTGGTTTGTATTTCAGCCATGCTTGAAAAGGACCAACTGTCTAATAAATACTATAACAGACAAACATGATATCTGTAGTCAGAGTAACTGTACTTAAAAAAATAAAACCAATAATTGAAAGTACTTTTTTCTGTATATAAGATACACATGCATACTATCCTATATATAGGATACACATTTCTGTACAAATTCATGCAAAACAATCAACACTTGCATTTCTTCATGATGTACCTTTTGGTTGATGGTTGTAATTCATAGGCTGGTTGTTTCAGGTTACTGAAAATATAAAATATCTGTTTGCAAGTCAACAATTTACAAAATGAACATAATTTGGACAGTAAATTCAGATTATCCTCCTCATGTCTGCAAACAAATATGCTAATTTGAGTTCCACTAACTGGCATCTGGGTGTAATTTGTGCATATCTCTATGTAATGTGTACATAAAGTATGACACATATGTAAATAATACACAGAGCTGGGAGTTCATACCCATGCATTTAAAAATAAAAAATCAGGGTTCAACAAACATTAAATAAGACAATTGAAATGTAAATGAACCATTCAGATGTTGCTGTATTGGACATACTTTTGGTAATGAATGTATTCATTTATAATATTGAGAAGAAAAAGTAATTTAGATTCTTGTCTATTAAAATGAGAATAGTTGTAATGGTTCACCTGAACAACTGAAGATCAGATAACTTGTATGAATGTAAGTATTGTATGGCATCATTGCTGAATTATGTACTTAAAATGATGTTCTTTGTAATGGAGGTTTGTGGGAAACATGTTTGGTGACAACTCTGCTGACTCATTTTGAGAGCAGGAGTTGAAAAGGAAGGAGGATAGTATGCATCTCTAATTCCAAAGCACCTCTTATTGTCTGCATCTCTCTGAGAACTGTCAGGGCTCTTCATATTCTCTCTCCCAGTCTGTTTATGTTAAAGTTTTTCTGGATCTGCGTTTCAGGAGAAGTGGGTATGCATTCTGGTCAAGTTGGTCAGGGCCATTCCTTAAACTGTTGAATAACTTTTTCCATTTGTTGTATATAGCTTTCATATTGTATTATCTGTTGCTTCTAGTACTTTTTGGTCTTCTGAAATTGATGTAGTCAATGATTAAAAGAAGAATTTATAGGATAGGATAAATATTTTTCTATGCATGTTTAAATACTTTGTTTGGGTTTTGTTGTTGTTTGCCTAGTATAAGGGTTGGTTGGTTGGTTGGTTTGTTTGTTTCCTATCTCTTTTGTGTCAAGTTTTTGTCTTTTACTGGTGTTCTGCTCTATTTACTCTATCTGGCCAAAGTTGTTTTGGTTTGGTTTGGTTTTTGTTTGTTTGTTTGTCTCTTCTGTCCTCTCTTTTGCACTACCTTGAAGGTGTGAGAACTGTTGAAAATTGATCCTGGCATGAGAAGAGTTCCAAGTGTGGTCTTGAAAGAAGTTTGTAATTTATTGAAACTTACTGTTTTCAGCTGTGGAAGTGGAATAAAATTAATGGCTGGTATTCTTGCTCACATTTTGTTAATCCTGCAGTTTGAGGAAAATAAAACTATTGATACTACCAACTATCAGATGTTTTTAACAAAGACTAATGGGCTGGGATTTGTTGTTGTTGTTCAGGAGAGCTGATACATTTGACCATGTGTTGGCTTTATCTCAGTCATACTAACTGTATTTTAATTCTTGTTTTCCTCTTGCATGCTTCTATTCTGCATGTAGGATGTGCTATTATTTAAACTTGTCCTTTCCAGGTAGAGGCCAAAATCCATCTGTCCACCTGACCAGCCTGGACCCAGGCCTGGTCTTTGGCAAAGGTGATAAGTATTGAAAGTTATTTTTCAGAGAGAGTTAATTTTAGTTATCTATAGGTATTTTATTGATGATGTACATTACCCATGCCACAGATGTAGAGACACTCAGCTGGCTCTGTACATGTCTGACTTTGGGCCAAGAAATTTTATTTGTATTGTTAGTTCAGTGTTGTGAGAGTTCAACTGTGCTATTCTTAGGGCCAGTTCAGATTTGGAAGTTAAAAGTGCAAGCTAATAAACCTTCCCAGACTTGTACTGATTTCAAGAATACTAACTCAGACTTCTCTGTGCATTATTCTTGATACTGGTTGCCTGGTTTAGCATGGACATATACCATGGTGACTTTTCTTGGAGTCTGCTGTGAAGTTTTAAAAAATAATTAAGAAAAAAACAAAGTTGTATTGAACTTCTGGAACAAAGACAAAGGAGTTGAAGAATCATCTGGCATCCAACAGAGAACATGAGGTGTCTAGCTGGATATCCAGAGTAAAAAACTCTGTTTTTTCCACTTTATTATTCCCACTGTGTCCCTTTTTTCCCTTCAGTAGTCAAATATCTTTTATGGAAGAAGCATTACGGATCGTACTTTAATTTTCATGCATGATAATTTTATAGGAAGAAGATAGACATATAAAGTGATTTTAAAATTGTGTGGAGTAACTTGCTGCTTCCTTTGTGACACATAAGACATGAGCTGCAGTTGATTATTTTTTTTTCTCCTTTTTTATTTGTCATTGGGTTACTTGTTTTTTTTCCTTATCTGTGATTTGTAGATTGGTCTCCAAGTTCCAGAGGATGAATTTTTCTCTCATTGATTCAGGGAATGGTTAATCAAGCATCTGTTTAAATAGCAAACTGAAGAACAAAATCTATATGTTTTATCAGTTTAGGAGTAAACAGAGGCTGTGTGCTTTTTAGGGAGAGCTGTAAAATTTTCCTCATTAACTTCCTTATAATTTTATTTAAAGGAACTAACCTTTCTCAATACTAAGTTCTTTAAGCTGAGAATCTGGCTTAGCTTGTTCTCAGTACCTTCATACTTTTCCAGTAGAACAAGGCTCTGACCACAGCTTATCTTTCTTAAAAGGCTCTGTAGACTGACATACAGCAATGTGTAAAGAAAACAAAAGATATTACTGAAGAAAGAGCTGTGTGTGTGTTGATTTTTTTCTGTTTTTGTTTGTTTGTTTGTTTGTTTGTTTTTAAAAATCTGTTACTGCTTGGGTTATAACAATTACTCTTTGGTTATACTGAAGCTTCTGGGAGGTCTTCCAACATAATTGAGGCTGGTGAACTGTTAAAAAATACTGTTTCTTTCATGTACTTTTTAGTTATGCGAATTAAGTATTGATTGAAATAGAAAAGCTGTAAACAAATTCACAGTCTTTTTAGTTGCTTCATCCTGTTTTTCTGTGTCTTCAGTTATAACAGATGCTTTCGGGGTAGGTGACACTTTGTTTTCTGACCTAAAAATCAAGTGAAAAGCTTGCATTGCACCTTTGTCCAGAAAATAACCACATTTAATATATCACAAGAAATAAAAAAAAGGGGTATGATCATCATTCTGGTCACTGTACTTTAGTAGTGTAGGTCAATACTTACGTAATCTCTAGTTTTAATACAGTTCACTGGAGACTGTGGTGAATGTTACTGATGGTAGGGGTTGTTTTAGTTTTACGACACAGTATCCACTTTTCACAAGTCAAATGGGTACCTCAAAATTTTTTTCTTAATGTTACCCTTTGGTAAAATACTTAGATTGTATTTTTATTTTTAAATGTCCTCTAGAAACTTGGAGTTTGCAAGTTTTTACAGATTAGCTTGAGTTTGTTAGCTTGTTGGCAAATATGGACTGAAATGTGGGTGCTGCTGCTGCTTAAACTGGTAATACTGTAGAGGTGCAAGAAGTTAAGAACCAGGATGATGAATGCAATTAATAAGTAAATGTGATGTGTTTATATTATATTTTCTCTTGTTAGTAATGGTAACATTATCAATATTGAGGAAGCAAGTTTTCTTGCATTTAATTTTTTTTTTCCTTCTTCTTTCTTGCAGTCAATATAGCCCTTGCCCTGGCAGCAAATGATTCGGTAGGTGAACATCTAATTATCAGCCTTAATGTGAAACAAGTGTGTGTGTCATAAATAAAATGGTTACTGCTGGGGGCAGTCACATACTTTAAATATTTACTTTGAAAGTTTTTTTTTGTTTGTTTGTTTTTCATGGACTTTTGAGTTTATATTGATTTGTTTATATTTTTATCAGTACCACAAATGACTTAGTAACTCTCATACTTCATCAGGGTTTGGCTGTGTCCTTTCCCTTGTGTGTCTCTGAGTTCAACAGCAACTCTGCAAGGATGCATAGACATAGTAAAGGATGTTTGTGCAGGTTAGAGACGTGTAATAAATAATTAAATTCTATCACTTCAGAGCACTGACTTAGAAAAATTAAGAGTAAATGCTGGATGATGTCCAAACCATTTTTTTTTATAGCTCTAAAGATTTACTTTTTCCAGAGAAATTAATGTGTAGAAATACCGTATATACAAACAGCTGAGGGGAAAAAAGGAGCTACGTGTCTTCCCTAAAGCTTGGAAATATATTTTCTGAGTGACATAATATCATTGCCCGGTTTGGTATTGCTCAAACTGTTACTTGGACTATAAATAGACAGTGGGAACCATTCAAGCATAGAAACAACAGGTCTTCATTATGTCCACCTGCTGCTATAAACTGGGAGCTGTTCCATTGTGCACATTTGTTGCCACAGAGGTAACTCAGAAGCAAGCTTCACTTCCTATGTAAGGGTGTATAATGAAGGTGTTGTACTCATAAAGCATTAATTATACAAAGTATCCTCAAGTACTTCAATCTGGTAAATGTTGCATCTTTTTCTTGTTGTAAAAGATGAGTAAAAGAAAACAACAGAGTGAGGTTTACATGGAGTCTACACTCTTCCTGTAGGAATTTTGTGAAAGATTAAAAAAATTTCCATAAACTCAGCCATACTTGATAAAAGGAAAGTGTTTAAAGCTGTTATATCAAATATGTACTGTTTGTAATGGCATCTGATCTTGATATTTTGCAGCTTTTAATTCTGTGTTTTAAATAGGCTGCTGGAGTAATTTGATGTCAGAGAAAAATCTGTCATCTTGAAAAGCAAAACTGCTTGAATGATTCCGTCTAATTAACTTTAAAACATGGCATTTGCTGTAATACTTTTACAAAATGAATGTGATCCTGCAATGTGATCTGTGTTGTGGTGTGGTCATTGAGTAGCTCCATGGAAACCATGTCAACTAATTGCACATAACTTTCTGTACCAGCTTAAGTGTTTTTAGGATTGTGCCTGATAGTTTTCAAACACGTAGTGTTGTGCATTGTTTATGTTTAGATAAAGCATCTCTTAGTAATTGACATACACAACTTTTGTGATTATGCCCTTTATTAGGAGTTAAATGTCTGGCTTTAAACATAGTAATGTGATACACCACTTCAGTTGCCCATTAAAGCACTTGTAGAGCACACAAATAAGAGAGACCATTGTCTGGAATGATTGAAGAAGTTATTGCCAGAGTTATTTGGAAAATCAGGGACTGAGAAATAATTTTAAATGAAATTGAGCCAAGAAAGTTAAGTAAACATGGAATGTGCTGGTCATTTCTGATATTAGGATTATGTTGTGGTGTAAAATTGGAGGCCAGCATCTGGTGAATGTTAATCAATGAAGAGCAGCTGAAATTGATGAAATAGCTGTGACTTACAAGAACTGATGGTCACAATTTAGCAAGGTGCTGCCGTGGTGAAATTGTGCATTGATAAAGTTACAGGATAGAAAATACGAAATTAAGGCGGACTGAATGAACTCAACTCTATCGTGTTTGTTCATGCATTAATATCTTTTCTTGTTTGTTTGTTTTAAGATAATGATGGCACACGTCATCCTTATTTTTAAACTTTGGGCTTGAATTTGCTAGTATGTTCATTTGTGTACTCCCATTTATTTCAGTTCAGTAGTTTTGGGAGTCAAGGTTACGAAATTAGTATCTCTGGGGCCATGATTCAGGCTGGGTTTGTCCCGTGCTCTGAACTGTAGGGATCATTGCAATGTTCAGTTTTGTTAAAGTGAAATAAATAAGACTGATTTCCAGAGTCCATTGATGCTTCCTTCTGAAGTTTATAGTGTATTTCTTTGACCTCAGATATGCAGCAATGGACCTCTTCATTTTAGTAACTACTGATTGTGCATCATCTTCCATCGCTTCATTGCTATCATAAGTTCATCTCTTTCTGAGAAAGCAGTAATGATTCTGTTAGTAGATCAGAGCTTCAGCAGCCGTCTGCAGCTTCATTACAGTCCTTAAGTGTCTTATAGGCAAAACACAAACTTACAGAAACTGATGCTTGACCTTGATGTACTGTTTAAAGGAGGAAAGAAAGGACTTACCAAGACAGATAGGTCACCATGAGAAAGGTCTGTGCTTCCTTCATTAGGTACAGTCTGTTTCTGTTACAAGTTCAGTGTCTGTAACTTGATTTTCAAAGCAAGTACTATACTGGAGCTAAATGACTTTAAAAATGATGTTGTCTTCTGATCTTTCAAGTGTTCTTTTTCTATGATTATCCAGGTCACAGACCATTGAGAACAACTGTTTTCTGGTGAGGGAGATCTGTGGAAGATGCTTTCAGAGGAGATTGGATTAGAGTAGATTCTTGCTTCTTTCAGCAACAGCTGTGACATTTTATTGTTTGATACTGTCATAAGATGGAAGAAGATTAACAGTCAAAGCATAAAGGGATTTTTTGTCTTCTTGATAAAAGAAAGCTTTCTTCCATCTTTTCTTAAAAGCCTACTTTCTATAGTTAAAAAACAAAACCAGAACCCCACTGTTTCTATAGATAGATTTTTTTTTTTTTTTTTTTTTTTTTAATATGGAAGCTTTTTCAATTATAGTGATGGTCTGAAGTATTAAGGCATCAATAGAGCCTTGGACATTGTCATTGGCGCACAGTGTTGTTGGCAGAGCTGGGATTAGAAGTCAGGAGTTCACGTCTTGCATGCTGGTGCTCAGTCTGTTTGGCATATTTTTACCTCATGGTTACAGAGTAAATAATTCAAGACAGGATTTCATTTAGATGCCTAGATACCACGTCCAAGACAAAGTAGGTTTTTGGGGAGTTTTGTTTTGGGTTTTTTTGATGCAAAGCCAGGGAGACAAGCAGGGCAGCCTCTTATCCCTTTCTGGAATTATTAGGCTTTTGGTACCCTGGGTTACCTGTTGTAGATGGATTAGTTAAGTATTGTATAAGCTCTTGTGCCTGTACCAAGACCTATAAATCTATACAATGTTCTTTTTGTGTTAAGAAATAACTTAAAGTTCTGTCCTTGTGTCCTATTTTTAATTGCTTGCTTAGTTTGACAGCTGATTCTTTTTGTTCTTTTGATGTACCAGCAGTCAGTTGTGCTCCCCTAGGAGCACTTGGGAAGAATTTTTGGGTTTCGTGCCAGGATGATTCATATTCAGAGTAGAATGACTATTTATGAAAGCTGCCTGGCCAGAGACAATTTATTATAGTAGAAACAAGTTGAATTAATAGATGGCAGCAATAATAAGATAGAGATTGCTTGTTTATGAACAGAGTATTTTAGCGAGCAAACACCAGCTGTGCATGACTAAGGATGGCACAAATCCAGTTGGGAGGCTGCATGCTTGTGCTGTCACTATGAGGCAAACTCCCCAGTCAGATTTCCTTTGACTCTCCTTTTCTTTCCAGGAAGATTTACATTTTTCACTATAGGATGAAATGGTTTTTGTGTTGTGAAGGGCAGAAGAGCAAGAAGTAAAACCATATGGAACAAATTAGCATGTAAGCATAAGCAAGTGGCTTCTGCCTGCAGTAGCAGGGGCAAGTGATTAACAGCATCAGTTTTAACTATTTTAGTTTAGTTCTGTGTCAGGGCGGGTCAAGCAGACCAGGACCAAAATTTGAAATACACCAAGGGTCATTTTATCTTAAGGAGTGGCCTTTGTTTTCCCAAGCAAACCCACTGGTTGCTGAGCAACATTGTATTTTAAATGTAAGGCTGTGTTAAGGTAGTAAGGGAGGGAGGGAGCGCAGGGAGGGGGGCGCAGTGCTTCTTCCCGCTTCTGTCAGGTGATGAAAGGTCCAACACCTTGTGTTGTAATGGAAATAAAGCTGGGGAAAGTTGGTGGTTAGCTAAATAAAAACACTTACTCAAACAGTATAAAGGTCAAGATGTCACAATGCAGATATATCTATATATTTTTTTTTTTAAAAAAGCAGAAAACTCGTGTCTATCTGGCTATTACATACATGAGTAAGAGGTTTCTCACAAGTATATAGTAAATTACAGTGTAGAAATTATGTAGTTATGAGCAGAGTCTTCATGTGAACTCACTATTGTGATAATAAAATTAGTTCTAATTATTTCAAAATGTGTATTTAAACAAACAGCTCACATTAATTTTAAAACTACTCAAAATCCATCCAGCCTATTTTCTTTACATTCCAGCCTTTTTTCAAATATTTGGCTCCTGTAATTAAACTGTCTACAGGATAATATTAGACTGCTGCCTTAATAGACGACTTCACAATGTATATACATTTCTTTCTGGTAAGGAGAAAGTTCCATGTGGAGCGAGCAAAAAAATCTAGAAGCATTTAGGCAATGATGGGCTCCTTCACTGAATAATTATAGCACGAAGACAACTTTTGACCTGTTTTGTCCTCCTTCTGTGCAGCTTTCCTGTTTATTAGGTAAGGTGTTCATACTTGTTTTTTAATGCTAAAAAGTGTCAATAAAGCTGGAGATGTCAGTTTGAATTGATTTGGGTTATTTTACAATGACAGCTCAGCTTCTAGATCAGCTGAGAAAATGAGAGAATAAAGCCTTAAATATCTTACTGTTTTTCAAGTAAAAAAAGAAAGCAAATAGAAATATTTTTAAACTTAGGTCACTAAAAATATTTTATTTTAATCAAATGACTATATGCTTAATTTGAGGAAAATAAAATTTTTCACTTTCTTTTTTTAAAAAGTATTGCATGTAGAGTTAATTGCCTGAA